TTTTCTAGCTGTGCCCCATGGCCTTGGGTTTGGTTCCCAGCGTTCCTGCCACTCCCAAAGGAAGATATAAAAGAGGCTGCCTGTGAAGTGGTGAGTTCCCCACCACCAGAAGCATTCAGGACAAGGACGACGATGAAGGGTGCCCTAGGAGAGGTGTCTGTACTATATGCCATGAGGTCTATCTAAGCACTAACGCTCCCTCTAATGCTGGCCTGTGATTATGTGACCGTCTTGCATGGCGGAAGTTGGTCTGTGGTTTCATTGGCTGTGATGGCTCCCCACTTCCCTGAGCCCTCTAGCTAGGCCACAAGGCAGACTGTTCTTCAGTTTTTGCCTCCCCTCCTGCAGCCTGCCCAGTGCTGAGCCCCAGCACAGATCTCGGGTGAATGGAAGGGAATAGACTGTCATAGATGCTTGAGGGATGGGGTATCAGGTGTGCCCCTGCTGTTGTTGGCATGGGAAGAAGGCGGGGTGTGCTCTAAGCCTGAGGGGCTGGGAAAACTCCCGCAGGAGCTAAGGTGCCGGATCATGCCTCAGATAGCCAGGGTTGATGCGTGCCCACAGGGATGCAGGGCTGAGACACAAGCACGAGGAGCCATGGGACCGAGTCAAAGGTCTGAAAGCAGGACACAGGAATGGAAGGCTGTTTGCTGGGGAACACAAGGCAGGACCAGGAGCTGATAAGGGGCAGTGGGAGCTTCATCAGTGGGAGCTGATGGGGGGGGCTTCTCTCACTGCCACCCAGCCTCCACCCATGCAGGCTGCCCCAGCTATCCCAGTGTCCCCCATGCACCCCACTTCCCTACCCTTGGGAGTGGGAATTGAACTCAGAACCTCTGTATGCTAGGCAAGCGCTGTACCACGGAGCTGTACCCCAGCCCTTTCTTTAAGTTTTGTCTTGAGATTGGCCTTATTATGTTGCTCAGGTGGGCCTTGAACACACTCTGTATTGTCTGGTCTTAAACTTCTAATACGTCTGCCTCAGTTTACCAACTAGTTGGAATTCTAGGCTTGTACCAGCCTGCCTAGCTTTGTCGGGAGGTTGTTGGTTTTTGTTGTTGTTGTTGTTTGTTTGTTTTATTTTGTCTTTTCGAGACAAGGTTTCTCTGTGTAGCAGAGCTGGTTGGTCTGGAACTCTCTCTGTAGAGCAGGCTGGGCTTGAACTCACAGAGATCTGCCTGCCTCTCTCTGTCTTCTGTGTTGGTCTAAGGCGTGCGCCACCACAGCTGCCTGTCAGGAGTTTTAAAAGCCTTCCTCTCCTTTGAAGCGCTCGTGCAGTGCAGCAGGTGTTAAATTATGCTCTTCTCATAGACCTCACACACTAGGAAGATCACTTTGAACATCTATTCAAAACACTTGCAGATTGTGGAGGCAGAGTCTCCTGGCCTATTCACTGATGCTGTTAAAGAAAAACTCAGGGGCTGGGGATGTAGCTGCTTGTAGCATGCCACCTAACATGCACACAGACCTGGGTTCGATCCCTAGTTCTGCATAAACCGAGCCTGGTAGTAGTACATGCTGGTGATCCAGTAATGCAATTAAATCACTACCAATTCCCAGAAATAGCTTAATGATTATAGGAATTTATTGGGGGATTAACTCACAATACAGAAAATGGGGATTGAGGTATGGTCCAACGCTGCTTTCCGAAGAGTTCTGCCCTGATCCACACCGGCATCCAAGACCACGAGATAGTGAAGAGAGCAAGCACTCATATATCATCCCAGGTCTTAAGGGGGTCCTCGTTACCTGCTGCCTCACTAGGGGCGGTGCTTCAGGGCACTGACAACCAGCCCTACAATCCAGCACTGGGGAGGTGGAGGCAGGAGGATCAGAAGTTCAAGGTCACCCTTGGCTACCTGGTGAATTCAAGACCAGATTGAGCTACAAGAGACCCTATCCTAAAAGAAAAAAGGAAAAAACTTGCTCCCTGATACTCGATACTGTAAGGAAGGCTTTAACGGGACTGTCACTGTAAGTACAGGAACCACAGCACCAAGGCCTCGCAGTGTGGGAGAAAGACTAGTCTCAACACACACTGAATGTGAGCAAACAGGACTTTCACAGTCAAGGAGCTAGGCAAGGGTCAGTGCGTGGAAAATCACTGAAAGGAAGCGCCAGCGGGGAGGGAGGTCCTGTCTAACTTACCTAACAGGATTCTTGTGGAGACAGCCTGGATGATCAGACACCATGGGGGGGGGGGCGCAGGTTGAGGAACCAGATCTAGATAAAGGATTATGGGATATGGATTATGGGGACTTGCAGCTAAACTGATGTTTCAGGGATCTCTGGCAGACACTGGATTTTGCAAGGAAGGCCTAGAAGGTTCAGATGGAGTAATGGAGTTTAGCCAGAGTCTTTGCACTGTGTAAGGTGCCTGGTTATTTTTTTACATTTATTATTTATCTGTGTGTATATGTATGTGTGCATGTGCCCTGGCATGCATGCCAGAGGTCAGAGGACGACCCTAGGAAGCTGCTGCTCTCCTCCATCCTGTGGTTCCTGCGGATGGAACTAAAGACATTAGCCTTGTCAGCAAGCACCTTTACCACTGAGCCATCCTGCCAGTCCTGAGGAGGTGGTTGTAATGAACATCTAGGATGGTGAAGGAGCAGACAGCTGAACCGACCCCCTCATCAGAACCCGGCAGTGACTTGGAGTGGAGAGCACTTGATTGAGTTACCGCCCAGTTTCTCATTTTGGTAACACAGAACTGAAAACAATGATGTTGTGGGCTCTTGTCTATCTCATTCCTGAGCTTGGGTTTGTGGCAGACACATTGGTTCCTACTGACTCACAGGCTGGGCTGCCCACAGCAGGGGATGTGGTCACACCCCACGGAGTATGGGGGAAGTGTCACGATGAAAAAAAAATGCCTTCCTCTGTTTGGGAGGTTGATAACGAAAAGGACAGTGGTAACTCCGCTGGCAATTCACATCTCCTAAGCAGACTCTGCCTCCTAAGCTGACTCAACCCTCACCACTGACCCAGCCACCCTTCAGAGAGTCTCTTCCTCCCTCCAAGCTGCACGGCCTGCTTGCTGCCCTCGCCCTCCGTGTCCCACAGGGCACCTCTTCCAACAACCTACCAGGTGGAAGCATGCACTGAATTAAGTGCTGGTGACACATGCCCTCTTCTTTTAAAAGCCTTCAAACCAACCAACAAACAAACCGAAAACCTTAGGCCTGAGACGTGTCTCAGTGGGTAGGGGGCACTTGCTGCCAGGGCTGACGGTTTGAGTCTGATCCCCAGAACTCACATGGTGGGAGGGAAAGCCAATTCTTTGGTCACACTTATTTACTTACGTAGTGTGTGTACACGTACACTGGAGCACACATGTGCATGGCCACAGTATATACGTGGAGGTCAAAAAAGAAACCAGCCACTGATGAGAACAAATAAAAGGGCGGGTGAAGTTGTTATGACTGTGTTTTTCTGAAATTAAAAAAAGATGATATATTAACAACAACAACTTGCCTTTTGCATTCTCCCTATACTACAATTTCTTTTTCCAAGAAATATTTTCTCTACTCACTTACCAAACAAAGATGGCGTTCATCATTCCGGAACTGGAAGATGCTGGGGACATAGAAAGGCTAGCTAACGCCGAGGATGAGTACACTTCTCCTGGGAGAGAGTTGCCTAGGAGGGATAAAGTCCCAAGCAGGTTTTGTTTTTAGTAGATTTAAAGAGTAAAAACTCTGCTTAAGGACCTCCCCCTTACACGCACACACTTCTCTCTCCTTCTCCCTGGCTGGCTTGGAACCCACTATGTAGACCAGGCTGGCCTTGAATTTATGGAGATCCACCTGCCTCTGCTTCTGAGTGCTGGGATTAAAGCTGTTCTACCTTGCCCAGATCGCTCTCCTTTCTCACAGGGTCCCATGGATCCCAAGCTGACCTCACATACTTTGAGAATGATCTTGAACTCTTGCCTCCTCCACCCCTCCCTCCACGTGCTGGGGTTACAGTTTATAAACTGTATCATGCCCAGTTTATAAACTGCTGGGGATTGAACCCAGGACTTCATGCTAGGCAAGTACTCTGCCAGTGAAGCCTCATCTCCAGTCCTTCTTTCTCTATTGTTTCTCTATTTCTTTAGATGTTAGATTAACAAATACAATTCTTGTTGGTCTGAGTCTCTCTGTATGCATTTGTGCATGGTGTAAATGTGGAGGTCAGAGGGCAGCCTCTGGGCGTCTGTTTCCTCCTCTGCCTTCACTTGGGTTCTGAGATCAAACTCAGTTCATCAGACTTGTGCACCAGTGCCTTACCCGCGGGGCTGTGACGCGGACGCCTTTACCCACGGGGCTGTTGAAGCACGATCCTAATTATTCTTAAATATAAAAACGAGGGGTCAGATATCGAGAGTGAAAGCTGAAAAATCAGAGAAGCAGAGCAGCAGCCACCAGACTTCTCACCTCTGTGAAACCTCAGATTGAACGGGGGATCCTGTGTCAAGTGGGGCCGAGACCCTGTCTCCACCTTCTTTATATTCCTGTCTCCACCTCCCTAGTGCTGAGATTAAAGATGTGCACCACCACTACCCACCACCACCCTCCCACCCTACCCCCCACCCCGGCTCTGTTTCTCTTTTAGACTGGTTCAATCTCATGTAGCCCAGGGCAGCCTTGAACTACTGACCTTCCCGCTTCCTCCTCCCAAGTGCTGGGATTAAAGGTGTGTGCCACCACTGCCTGGCCTCTATGGCTAACTAGTGGCTAGCTCCACCCTCTGATCTCCAGGCAAGCTTTATCTGTCAGAACACAAACAAAATATCACAGAACACACTGTGTCCCAGCCCCCCCCCCTTATTTTTCCTTCCTTTCTTCCTTTTTCTTTTTCCACGTGGTATCTTGTAGCCCAGGTTGGCTTTGAATTCACTAGGTAGCCAAGGATGGCCTTGAACTTCTGACTCTCCTGCTTCTGGAATGTCGGTTTTGCTGGTGCGCACTGTCACGCCAGGCATTTTCTGTTTTTATTTTAAGAGAGTTTCACGTAGCCCAGGCTAGCCTGGAGTCAGAAGGTCCCTGAGTGTCTGACCTTTCTGCCTGCCCCTTCGCGTTGCTGGGATTACAGTTGTGTCTGCTGCATAGTTGGCATTTTCCTTCTCTCTCTCTCTCTCTCTCTCTCTCTCTCTCTCTCTCTCTCTCTCTCTCTCTTTTTAGTTTTTGAGGCAGGGTCTCCTTGTGCAGCCCAGGCTGACCTAAAACTCATGACCCCCCTGGCCTGGTCTCCCGCGTGCTGAGATTGCAAGCCCGAGCTAGCATGTTTGGCTTACTTTAAAAAAGATGTGTTTATTTTTTTATTTTAATGTGTATGGGTAGTTTTGCCTGCATGTATGTGTGTGCACCATGAGCATGTAGTACCCCTGGAGGCCAGAAGGGTTGTTTAGCCCCCAGAAGTGGAGTCTGCATGGTTGTTGGCTGCTGGGAACTGAACTCAGGTCCTCTGCAAGAGTAACAAGAGATCTTAAGCCCCGAGCCATCTCTGCAGCACCAGCTGGCTTATTTTTTTGTTTGTTTATTCTAAATTAGGAATGGATGTAAAGTTTTGCTAAATGCTTTCTGTATACACATTGATATGAATATCCACAAGGATACACTAATATCACATATATTTATTAATGTGGTATATTATATTGATACAAATATCCATATGGATATATTAATATCACATATACTTGTTAATGGGGTGTATTATATTGATATGAATATCCATAAAAATATATTAGTATCACATATACTTGTTAATGGGGTATATTGTATTGATATAAATATCCATATGGATATATTAATATTACATATATTTGTTAATGGGGTGTATTATATTGACATAGATATCCATAAGAATATATTAATATCACATATATTTGTTAATGGGGTGTATCTTATTAGTTAAGTTCAAATGTTGGACTAACCTTACATCTACAACATAAACATCATTTGGTCACTAACTTTTGCATTTTTCAATTTAAAAGTTTTATTTTGTAAACATTTTCTTTTTCTATTTGTGTGTGTGTGTGTGGTGCTTGTGCACGTTTGCACGTGTGGACACGTGTGTGTAGGTCCAATAGCGTGTGTGTGGCTATGCATGTGGAGGCCCAAGGCCGATGTCAGGGCTCTTCCTACGTCATTCCTCGTCTTATTCATTGAAGCAGGGTCTCCTAATCAAACCCAGAGCTTGCCGATGTGGCTAGTTTTGCTCTCCAGGTTGCTTTGGGGATCCTCTGTCTCTGTCCTCTGAAGCTAGAATTACAAGCCCACCCAACATTTATGTGGATTCTGAGGATTCGAACTCTGCTCCTCACACTTGCCATGCAAGGCTTTAGCCACCCAGCATCGCCTCTGCCCCAGGTCATCCTCAGCTACTTGCCGGTTGTGAGGACAACGTAGGCTACCTAAGACTCCACATCCAAAATCCAAAGGGAGAGTACTTGGCCAACTGGAAGGCTCCCCCGGACCCGTGAGAGAGCTGGTTGTTGTGACCCTCGTGGTAATCATGGCTTCTCTTTTCAGGTCTGAAAACATCATGTACACACCCATCCCTCAGAGGTAGGCAGTGCGCCCCACCGTCTTTTCCCCCTTCCTTCTTCACTTCCGAGGGCTGCTCCTCGCCCACTGCTCTCACTGTACCCAGACCTCAGTCTCCAGGCCTGCCCAAGTCTCTGTGCTCGAGCCCACTCCCCACAGAGTCCACTACCAACCAAGCATCTCTTCCTACAGTGGCTCTCCGTTCCCAGCCTCGGTCCAAGACCCAGGTCTGCACATCTGGCGTGTGGAGAAGCTGAAGCCGGTGCCCATAGCACGAGAGAACCATGGCATCTTCTTCTCCGGGGATTCCTACCTGGTGCTTCACAATGGCCCGGAAGAGGCCTCCCATTTGCACCTGTGGATAGGTAAAGGGGTTGGAATGGGGTCTGCGCGGCTTTGGCCACGGCGAGGGATGGAGGTCGCAGTGGGTCTCAGGGACCTTGCCTGTCCCCCCACATTCATCCTAGGCCAACAATCATCCCGGGACGAGCAGGGGGCCTGTGCCGTGCTGGCCGTGCACCTCAACACGCTGCTTGGGGAGCGGCCGGTGCAGCACCGTGAGGTTCAAGGGAATGAGTCCGACCTCTTCATGAGCTACTTCCCACGTGGCCTCAAGTACCAGGTGAGCACCACCTCCAGGCCCTCATTCCCAGGGCTTTTCTCGGGGTCGGTGCCTGCTTCTGGCTGTTCTTATCCTTCGGAAGGCCTGGGCGCACTCGGGGATCGGCTTCCACCTCCCTTCATCTCCTAGTGCGATGGAGTGCGGGAGGCTCTGGGTGCCTCTGGGGCCACTCAGGCCGGTTTTCTGGGCTGCAGGAAGGTGGTGTGGAGTCGGCATTTCACAAGACAACCTCGGGGACCACCCCAGCAGCCATCAAAAAGCTCTACCAGGTCAAGGGGAAGAAGAACATCCGTGCCACCGAGAGGGCGCTGAGCTGGGACAGCTTCAACACCGGGGACTGCTTCATCCTGGACCTGGGTCAGGTGGGTAGGTGGCTGAGACTGCGCAGGGTGCCAGCACCATGCTTCAAGACAGGCTGGAGGCCGGGGAGATGGAGGAGTGAGAAGGTTGACCCCGTGTTCTGGTGAACTGTTCCATCCGTGAGAAGACAGCCAGCCAGCCAGCCCTTAGGGATTATTTCCCTAATGTCCATAGGGATTATTTCCCAGTGACACACAGACTCCACCGTCCTCAGATGCTCCAACCTCATAAATACAGTACCTGTACATGACTCACGTGCTTCCTCCCGTCCGGTTCCAGGCATGTCCAAGCAATGGCCATTGGCTGCATGTATTCCATGATATGTAAATGGGGCTCAACAGAGAGCTTTAAACTGTCTTCAAGCACGTTTAGGTTTTTTTGAATTTTTTTGTAATTTGATTACATTTTTTAAAAAATTATGTCTGTGTCTGTGTGGGGGGCATGTATAAGAGACTGCAGATACCAGCAGAGGCCAGGAGAGGGCGTTGGAGTTGGAGTTACAGGCAGTTGTGAGCTGCCCATTGTGGGTGCTTAGAACATAGGTCCTCTGGAAGAGAATACACACACACACACACACACATACACGCACACGCACACACTCTCTTGGCCACTGAGCCATCTCTCCAGCTCCAGAAGATAATTTATACACAAGATTTTTTAAAAAAAAAAGCTTAAATATATGATGATAAGTGATGTGGAAATGGCATACGGGCAAGAAGTACTCTTTAAATTTTTTTTTTCAAGCCAGGCGTAGTGGCGCACGCCTTTAATCCCAGCATTCGGGAGGCAGAGGCAGGTGGATCTCTGTGAGTTCGAGGCCAGCCTGGGCTACCAAGTGAGTTCCAGGGCCCAAGTGAGTTCCAGGAAAGGCGCAAAGCTACACAGAGAAACCCTGTCTCAAAAACCAAAAAAAAAAAAAAAATTTTCTTTTTCTTTTAAAGCTGGGCAGTCCAACACCTGAGAGGCAGAGGTGGGAGGATCTCCAAGTTAGAGGCCAGCCTGGTCTACAATAGAGTTCCAGGATAGCCAGGGCTACACAGAGAGCCCCTGTCTGAGAAAATAATAATAATAATAATAATAATAATAATAATAATAATAATAAAAATACTCTTTTTTAGATTCATTTTATCTGTACGAGTGTTTTGCCTGCATGTATATACGTGTGCCACTGCACCGAGTGCCCTTGAAAGTCGGAAGAGGACAGGAGCCACTGAAACTGGAGTTAGGAAAGGTTGCTAGCCACCCTGTGGGTGCTGGGAATTGAACCTGGGTCCTCGGAGGAGCAGTCAGTGCTCTTAGCCCCTGAGCCATCTCTCCAGCGCAGGAAGCACTCTTGCAGGGCGTTATTCTTGCCTTTCTCAGAGGCCTCTGGAGAGTGGCCCTGACTTCTTGGGTTTTGTTTGTTTAATTTAATTTATTTATTTTTTTTTTTTAGCTAGAGTCTCAGTGTGGCCCTGGCTGTCCTGGAACTCACTATGTAGACCTTGTCCCAAATATACAGACATCTGCCTGCCTCTGCCTCTTGAGCACTAGGATCAAAGGCGTGTGTCACCACACCCCACACCCCACACTGGCACTGCCTTCCTGCTTGCCCTGCCCGTGGGGACAGTTTTTCAGTGGGGGTATGACACAGGCAACTGGCTGTGACGGGCCTGTCTGATTCTCTGCAGAACATCTTCACCTGGTGCGGTGGGAAGTCCAACATCCTGGAACGGAACAAGGCTAGGGACCTGGCCCTGGCCATCAGGGACAGCGAGCGGCAGGGCAAGGCCCAGGTGGAGATTATCACCGACGGAGAGGAGCCAGCCGAGATGATTCAGGTCGGGGACACTGGGGTGGGCGGCTGGGTGCTGCTGTTTGGATGTGGCCAAGAGAGACAGTGATAAGCCAGGATTATGAAGGTGGCTGATAGAGGATGACAGGGGCTATCTGGGGCCCTACTCAGCCCTGTGACCGCTCATGGGGTACCTTTGTGTGATGGGGATAAGGGGTTCCTCTGAGTGGGTACAGCCTTGGGGCAAGAGGCTGTCTGGTGGGTGGGCTGGACCCATCACTTTACCAAGTCTTATCTTAGTGTAGGACCCAGGTGGCCCTGGACGTGGTGACTTGGAAAATTTGGGTGCAGAAGCCCCAGTAATCCTGTCTGGCTCCGCAGGTTCTGGGCCCCAAGCCTGCTCTGAAGGAGGGCAACCCTGAGGAAGACCTCACAGCTGACCAGACCAACGCTCAGGATGCCGCCCTGTATAAGGTGGGCACTGCAGGCCTGCTGGGGACTGACTAGGCACCTGCCGGTGCCAGGGACATGGAGCTGAAGGGAGGAGGCGGCTGTGCCAGGGAGGCTGGGCCAGGACTCAGGTAGGTTTGTAGGGGTTGGAGGAGAGATGGGTGGGAAGCAGGCAGATGGGCAGCCCTCTGCGGAGGTCAATGGTATTCACTTCCCGCTCCTTGGTGAAGGTTGAAAGCTAATGCCAAGCTTGCCTTGGTTTGAACCCTGGGCAGTTACTTGTAATGTGACGTCACCTCTTTCCCTAAGGAAGCCGCGGCTTCTGAACTGCCGCTGACAGGCAAGAGAGAGGCGCTGTCTGAAGTTAGCCTTGGGGGGGCCTCTTCCCGCCTGTTTCTTGGAACTGTTGGGAGAGGCAACTGGGGAGGGTCTGGGTAACCTCATTCACGGTGAGGGCC